CATCCCAAGCATGAAGGCCTCAAAGTGGAGGCAAAAGTACTGACCGAAGCAACTGAAAACCTATACAAGACATAGGTCACATATTTGTCACAAAAAGGTGAACATGAAATTGAAGAACCAAAGCTAACCAGAAAATAAAAACAAAATCATAACTCACAGTAGTAAGGAAAATGGTAAAGTGAGCAGAACCATAACTATATAATATTAAAAGAGACTAATGATCTACCCTCTCAGCCCATCTCCTCTTCTTTCTTCCATTTAACAGATAATCCTTGTTGTTTGTTCACCATTAGAAGTGCATACTACTGTGCCTATAATTTCCTTTGTTGTGATAAACAGTATAAGGGTAACCATACTTGGTCAGTGTTGTATGCAAAGCAATAAACTACATGAGAGATATGTTAGATGAGGAGAAAACAATGCAATACCGTCAACATCCACGTGGCGTTCTCAACCTCAAGGGGATTCGATTTGACATATCGATGGTTGAAAGTACTCCCATTGTGCATGTCAACTTTGTGATCATCCTTCAGATGGGCCACTAGATAAGGAATATCACCAATGACTGTGCATTCTGAACCGGCATAGGGGCAGTTATATGGTCTGTAAATACACTGAGATTCATGCTTGAGCTTGCTGTAATATGGATATATTCCAATGCACCCAAAACTCTGATATTTACATGGAAGCTCGAAAGATGCAGCCACTTTCTCCAAAGCAAGGCACCTGATGTTTCCAAGTTCATGCCTGCAAGTGGGGCACCTGTTGTGGACCCTAGGCTTGCATCCAGAACACAATGTATGCCCATTTGAACACTACAAAAAGAAAGGAACCTAATAAGAGAAGAACAAGGGATTTGCAGCAATTACATTCTCTTTAGATTAAAGAACAAGAACCATCCTAGTATAAATCAAGGCTGAACAGAAGAAGAGTAGTTCATATCAAATATAAAAATTAGTGTTCCACCCTGTTGCATCTCTGAATACTATACAGCAGTTTGATTGGATTAAATGACATGCACGAGTATGCAATGGCAATTTGTTTGGAAGGTGAATTATGTGCAGCAACTAGCAAAAACATGTCTTGCACTACTCGACTATTTTCTGTTTTTTTTTTCCCCTTTACAATAGATTGTTCAAAATGGAGCCACTGATATGCATATGTTATCTCCGCAAATTTTACATCTATCTTCATTTCTTCTGAACTGTGCAGAAGGCCATAGAATCAATCGATTTTGCTGTTTAACTACTTTATGTTTTCTAGGGAGACACGAAAACATGTTTGATTTTCCACAAGTAGCAAATGATACACAAACAGATTATAGATATACAAGAAAGCTTTCAGAAGGCACCAAATCATTATATCAAAAGAATAAATGCAAGATCCAAAACAACCTCCACTCCCATAAAGTTGGCTCAAACTTTTACAGAACTGAGCGAGACAATGTTTATAAATACATTATTCATCGATCTAACAGTCAACATGTCTAGCAAATTCCACCATAAATAATATCAGCAGCAAAAAGTCATTTGACCAGACCTGATGAATAGGAGGGTACATTGCATTTAGGCACACAGGGCACTCCAACAGCTCACGGACACTGCTAGACACAGTCACATTAGGTTTTAGAGGAGCTTGAGAATGATCATTCACATGTTCCCCTATGTTCAAAATATCTTCATTTTGAGGAGGGTCAATAACCTCAGGTTCCTCCCGCAGGTCGTCAAAAAATGGATTGCCAGATGCCATGCATACAAAGCCTGCCTACACAAGAGAAAGTAGGAAATTAGTGTTTAGATTGATGAATGCAGGTTATGTAGATTGATTGACTGGTTTGTACATGCTTAAAGGCACCACTACTCATATATATACATATGTAAAAGCGGATTTATGCTTTGCATTTTGGCCTGCTCGAGGGCAAATTTATCCGGTAATGCCTCCAGCCATATTCTAGCAACCATCACTAGAAGGCTTAATAACTTTCCATCAGATTAAAAGGTCCAATTCCATGACTAACAATAATCAACACGTGAAATAAGCATCTACATCCGTCATTTCAATTTCGACAATCAATTTAAGACGTACTTAAAACATTAAATTCAGTAAAAAATTCTCACCAACAAATCTCGTGTTCGACTCGATGTTCTAGTGTGCTCTATTAATGAAGGCACCAACCAATGACGAAAGAACCTAGAAAGAAAAATTAATCACAAAATCAAAATAAAACTTCATCAACCCTCAGAATTCAAAACGTCAAAACAAACAGAATATTATGAATCCAGCACAATCAAACACAAGTTATAATGAATGCACGTGTAGAATGACACAGCCCATGAAGAAACAGTAGTGTTCTTTTAGGAAAAGAAAAATTGCCCAGTAAGATTAAAAGACATGACCAAGCTTTACATATGGCTTCTTTTTCATGGGGAGGACATAAATCCAGAAACACACACAGAGCTTCTTTGTCTTCCCACATAGGGCATAAATACTTGACACATGTAAGACTATTAGTAGTTCAATTAAAATATAAAAATAGATGAGTCTCCTTCTGGTTTAGTCTAACTATGTACTTCCTTAGTGGCAGCCATCACAGTAGTTGCAAGGTTTCCTAGACAGCTTATCCAACCAGATCACCAGTTTGACTACAGCCCATAAAGACAATGAAATCAATCCCAGTTAACAACATCAGCAAAATACAGACTTGAAAAAATGCAGCCTATCCATCTTATGAAGGAAGAGGTAGTTTTCTTATAATACTCAGTAATCTCCATGGGGAAAGATGATTATTTTCACCAACTCAGCCAAAAGCCGTCACTCTGAAGAACTCAAGCCTTGAGTAAGTTCATACGATGATACAAAAGTTTAACGTATAATCTCGTTCTCGTACTTAAACCTCTCTACTAGTCATCATTAAAAAGATAGATCCAGAAAACCCCACATAAATTAAAAAAAAAAGTAATCAACAGATTGCAGTTAAATATCATAACAGAGATAAGAGAGTGATGACAAGGAAATCGAGAATGATCATTGCGGCCATGGGAATACGTACTCGAGCAAGTTTAGGTTAAACACGAAACGCCAACATTTACCCAATAAGAAACGCAGAATTTGAAATTTCCGTGAATCGAAAGACAATCTACAATAGCCTTTTATGCATGGCATTATCAACAAATGAAAACTCGAAAACACAGCGAGATAAAACTTTCAGACCCAAAAATGAGCGGTAAATCCACACCCCACGGAAGCAAACCCGATACAGATCTAGAATATCCCAAAAAGGGATTTCATCCAAAAAAGAAGAAAACAAAAAAAAGGAAACTTTTTGCAGACAAAAAAAAAAAACCCAAATTTGAAATGAGAGACCCAAAAACAAAAGCGCCCACAGAAAACACTCGAATAACCACAACAGAGAAATAAAAGAGCACCTTGATACAAAGACTGAAACTGAAATCGAAATCCTATCATCGACCAAAACCAAAAAACCCTATTAGAGAGAGGTTTGGCGTATGGACCTCGTATTAATGTGTGCAAGCAGTAAATAACAAGAGACAGAAAGTGCGCGTTAATGGAGAGAGAGAGAGAGAGAGAGAATGAATGAGATTTCAAATTAAAGCCGTTAAGGATGGAGCAGAGAGGTGAGGGAGGAGCGTAGTTTGAGTTGGGACTTGATCACTGGGGAGTTGGGAAGTTGAGGAGAGAGAAATTTCTCGAGAAAATACAAAAAGAAAAAAAGATTTCAACTTGACGTGGGACCCACTCCTCCCGGTCTTTTTTTATATTTCTCTCTTTAAGTGTTTAAATTTGATGGCGGTGCTTATTAAAATATAAGACCGGTTTAATTCTGAACCGGATGATTAATCGGTTCGATTTAATCTTAATATAAATAAATATATAATAAAGTTTCGTAATAATGTTACCATATTTAATTCATATTATTAAAAAAATATATTAATTATACGTACAATTACGTCATTAAGAATATGCTAAAAATAGTATGACGAGTGGTAGTGTTAATAATGAGTGAGGGGATTGTGGACTAAATATTTTGATCTATTATAATTTAATTGTAATGTTGTTACATTTCAATTTTATTTTATAAAATAAACCAAACATATATAAATAAACAACAAAATTATAAAGCCAAATCGTACGTCTCATTTTATTCTTTACTTAAATTAAATAATTAAAAAAATATTTAAAATATATAAATATTAAACAATTTAAAATTTATAATTAATTAATTTTTATACGGCTGAAAATGAATAATATGAAAGAAATATTTTATTATTTTTAGTTTCTAATTTACCTTTAAAAATTTAAAACAATAAGATTTATGAATTGACAAAACAGAATTATGGTAGAAAATAAAATAAAAATAAGTAGAAAAATGTGTTCATAAATTTTTTGATCATACCCAATAAATTTTTATACAAATTTAATATTAATAAATCGATAAATTTAAAAATTCATTTCGAGCAATTGAGTTTTTTTTTTGAACAGTTCATTTTTAAGAAAAAAAAAAAGATTCGTGCGAAAATTAATAATGTCAGAAATAACAAAAGATTTTTCGACACGTGATGAATATTGAAATGTTATTTTTATATACATTAATAGACCAGTAAACATGTATTTAAGGATTCGGTTTTAAATAATATAGTTAAATATTAATTTTTGATCATACCTAATTGCCAACGAGAATTTGCTTCTCTCGGACGAATTTGATATTAATAAATCAACAGATTTAGAAATTCATTTCGAACAATTAAATTTTTTCGGATGGTCTCTTTAAAAGAACGAAAGACTTTTCGGCACGTGATGGATCTTGAAGTACTATTTTTATATCGGCCCCAACAAACATGTACGTAAAGTTTCAATCTTAAATGATATAATCATACATATTTTTTAGTAATTTTATTATTTAAAAAAAAAATTACAAATAATTGAAATTAAAATTAGTTTTATCTTATTATTAAAAATACATAATTAAACTTTGGTTTCTCCTCACTTAAATTGATTTCCAATTCAATTTTATACGTGTAGATATACTCATAAAATAAAATAGTAAATAATATATTCAATAGTAAAAATATAAATAATAGTGGTATCATAATACCTTAAATTTCTTGCCAACCAATTTTCACTCACACTCTATATATATATATATATGTGTGTGTGCGTGCGTGTGTGTATATATATATGTATGTAAGTATACAGAAAATATTGATTTTATTTTCGAGCAATTTATTTCTAGAACTCTTCGATGCGGTGATCAGAGGAAACGATCGAGGCTCGAGGATGTTTTTGTTTTGCCTGCGAAGAGAGGAAGTCTGATATCTGAAAGGAGAAAACTATCACGGGACGGAAAGAAGAATTGAGGGCAGCGAAGGGGAAAATGTTATTAATTTGAGAGTCGCGAGAAAAAAACGAGAGACAGAGTGAGAGAGAAGTGGAGCTTTGCTGAAATTTGGGCGGAAGGGGAAATTAGGGAATATAAGCAAGCTTTTAAAAGGCGTTTTCGGTCGAAATTCAGAAGAGGTAAGAAAGGTTTCTGCTAGGGATTGCTGCTGGGTTCGTGAAGGGAAAAGCTCAGTATCCACTTGCTTTCAAGGCTTTAGTTGTGTCCCTTCAGGTATCTATGTATTAATCTTACGATTGGAATTTTAGAAAAATGTAATTGGTTCCCTGATGATTATATGTTGTCAAGTCTCAGAAATAGGGAACAGCACCGAATGAGTTTCAAACGTGTCCGATGCTTGATATTTCAATTGCTTTGCTGCTTATAGTTATGGTTCTTTCGTTTATTTACTTGTTGTAATCCAATTGGATGAGTCGATGAAATAAGGATTAAGGTTATGGAGCGAGTTTTAGAAGGGCACCTGATAGAAATATAGGACTGACTTCTAAAACAAATTGGCGAGCTGGGAGTCAAGAAAGACGGAGGGTAGTTTTATTAATCAAAACACTGATTGGGAGTCAAGAAAGAGGTTATTTGTAAGATGAACTTTTGCTCTAGGCTTGTGGGGTTCACTGGATATGATGTGCTATGTTGATCTTTTATGATTGGCTTTCTGCTTGGTGTTAATTCTCGGACTGAGTTTTTTGTACCCAGTGGCGAGTAGGGTCTCTAGTAGACTTGAGTATTGGAATGGTGGGTTGATCTCTCCTAGTGGTACGGTCGTCTTTATCTCTTGCTGTTTAGCATTTCTAAGCGGTTGCTTGTCGAGGTAGAAAGTATAATAGGGAATTTCTTATGGTCTGAGAGGGAGAGTTTTCAAGAGACAAATGTTTTTAGGCTTTGAGAATTTCTTATCTAAACAACCTGCCTTTATTGGTTAAATGAATCTAGTTTTTTCCATTGGAATATTTTTCTTTGTTGCATAAGGTGGTAAAGAGTAAGTACGAATTCTGAGATGACAAGATAACTGTGAGCCGTTGGATCCCAAAGGACCCATTTCAACTTTTTTATGTTTTTTAAAAAAAATCTCAAGTCAGGCAGGGTGGGGTCAGGCTAATTTTCTTTGTGTGCTAGATTGAGTTTTGGTTTTTTTGGATAAAAGAAGAAGATTGGATTGAGTTTAGTCTTGACTTCAGTCTTTGTATCAAGGTACTCTTTTATTTCTCTGTTGTTGTTATTTGAGTGTTTTTTGTGGCACTTTTGTTTTTGGGTCTCTCATTTCAAATTTGGATTTTTTATTTGTCTTCAAAAAGTTTCCTTTTTTGGACAAAATTCCTTTTGGGATATTCTAGGTCTGTATCGAGTTTGCTTCTGTGGGGTGTGGATTTATCGCTTATTTTTGGCATTGAAAGTTTATCTCGTTGTGTTTTCGAGTTTTAATTTGTTGATAATATCATGCATAAAAGCCTGTAGATTATCTTTCAATTCACGAAAACTTCAAATTTACCATTTCTTATTGGGTAAATGTAAACGTTTCATGTTTAACCTAAATTTGCTCAGGTATGTACTCCCATGGCCACAATGATCATTTTCGATTTTCTTGTCATCGCTCTCTATCTCTGTTACGATATTTAACTGCAATCTGTTGATTGCTTTGTTAATTTATGTGCTTTTTTTGAATATATATTTTTTTTACGATGACTAGTGGAGAGGTTTAAGTACGAAAACGAGGTTATGATTTTAAATTTTTGCATTATGGTATGAACTTACTTTAGCTTGAGTTCTTCAGAGTGACGGCTCATTGCTGACTTGGTGAAAATGATTTTTTTTCCCCACGAAGACTAATGAGATTATTATAAGAAAACTAATTTTTCCTACATAAGATGGATACGCTGCAATATTTTCAAGTCTGTATTTTGCTGATTGTTGTTAACTGGGATGGATTTTATTGTCTTTATGGGCTGTAGTCAAACTGGTGATCTGGTTGAATAAGCTGTCTAGAAAACCTTGCAACAACTGTGATGGCTGCCAATAAGGAAGTACATATTTAGACTAAACCAGAGGGAGTCTCATCCATTATTATAGTTTAATAATCTTACAAAGAGACTCTGTGTGTTTCTGCATTTATGCCCTACAGCTTGAAAAAGAAGCATATGTAAAAGCTTGGTCATGTCTTTTATCTTTACTGGGCAATTTTTTTTTCTTCCTAAAACAACATTACTGTTTCTTCATGGGCTGAGTTATTCTGCACATGCATTCATTATAACTAGTATTTGATTCATAATATTCTGTTTGTTTGATGTTTTGAATTTTGAGAGTTGAATAAGCTTTATTTTGGTTCTGTGATTAATTTATTTTAATTATATATCAAATTACATCATTAAACATATATAAAAAAATAGTTATTTTGAAATTAATTTAATATTTAAATATGTATTAATAATTTTTAAATTAAATTAATGTATGCATATAATTAATTATATTTAAAAATTAATTTTTTGGATCACTTCAATTTGAGTTTGGTTAGATAAAAAATTTCCGATTTCAACCGACCCATGACATTGGTTTGGACTTCCATCTGAAAAATTCTTCATATTAGAATTGGTATTTCCAGAAAAAGAAAAAAAAAAAGAAAGCCGAACCCAAACAGCGCTACAGCAGCCATTATCTCTTCCATCTACACAATTGCGTCGCTTGCCCCCTCCAACAGTTTCTTCTTCTTTCCTCAAATTGGTGCCCTCATCTGTGATCAACACTGAAATTCTAGAAAATCCCCATTCTCTTGCACCCAAGCGACTATCGGCATAGAAGAGAGAATCCTTAATCTCACCCTTTTTTGATTTCTGGAATCTCCTTAGTCGTTCAGTGTGAATCTTCCCCTCATTTCACATGTTTTGAAGTGCACGGGAGATTGGGGTTGTTACTTCTTCAGATCCAGATAGAAAGGGAACTTTAAGGGAAAATACTCAGTTGTCTTGTGTTAATTAGTTGCCAACTCGCATTTCTATGTATGTCCTCCTATTTTGCGAGCATAAGTCTTCTTAGTTCTTTCATTTCATTTTTTATTCTGTTCCTTTGTTGATCCATACATGTTTTTCGCTAATTTTTATATGCTTTGATATAATGTCCATAAACCATTGCATATTTTTGCCTCCTTAGTTGGTTTTGAGTGATAGAATGGTTGGTATTGAGGTTCCAGATCAGACTGATAACCAGTTTCTTCCCATTTTATCCCTTTATACATGCTATTTTGAATCTTGACGTATCTGGTTTTTGAGTTTTGAGAATTCTGGTCTGAATGTTCATTTAATCTCCTCTGCTTTGCATTTTCCTTTCATGTTTATTTTCTGTTCTTCCTTTTGTCTATATTACTCACTAGCTTTAAGTATTGTGACCTGCTTTATATCTATGTATATTGATAGTTGCTATGTTTGGATTTTCCTTTATCTGTTCCTTTTCTGCATATTACTTTCTGGTTCGCATGCATTTATCCGTTTCTGCTTTGATTTCAATGACTTGGTTTGATGGTTTTCTCATGAGTTGAGAGTGAAGTATGTAGAATTAGGATAATATAGGAATAAATCCCCGAATGGTTATCACTAAGGCGGCTAAAGAAACTGGGATGTAACTTGGAGAGTGGAATTTAAATACTTGGTATTTCGAATATTTCTGAATCAATTGAGAAGAAGTTGAGCGCTATTTTGAGGCCATGGGAATTGATCAGGACATATTTTTTTTTCCATAAATTGGAATAGGGATGAAAACATATATGTATAGGAATAAACCCACGAATGGGTTTGTTCCTACACTGGAATAATATTGGAATAAACCCACGAATGGTTATCACTAAGGCGGCAAAAGAAATTGAGATGTAACTTAGAGAGTGGAATTTAAATACTTGGGATTTTGAATATTTCTGAATCAATTGAGAAGAGGTTGAGCTCTTTTTTGAGGCCATAGAATTGATTGTGACATATTTTTTTGGATAAATTGGAATGGGGATGCAAACAGATATGCTATTTTGGCCAAGCCTAATTTCATTTCATTTAAAATTCAAGCGAGCTTTAAATCCAGATTTTTTTTTGAAATAAGAAGGTGTATATGTGTATTAATATTGGTACAAGGGGGTACCGCCCATTTACAAATTATTTAAATCCAGAAAACTTAAAAGCCTTAAAGGAAAAAACAAGCCCCAAAATAGCCCAGTCTAAGCCTCTCCCTTTTCTTTTTCCTTCGGCCCTAGCCCATACGAGCCCCTTCAAATTAGCTTCCTTAAAACATCACCATTTTGAGGAAACATTTTTTTAACTCTGCCTTCCTCTTCTATTGTTTGACCAGAGGGAAGAGAGGAAGGTTAGATCAAGTTCTGAAAATGAAAGGAAAACAGAGGATAATTCGTTAACCTCATTTAAATTGAGGCAAAAACAGTTGGAAGTATTTTCTTCTCTTCTCAGGTAAACTTTGTTGATTTCAGGTAAGTGAAAAATTTGGTTTATTTTTTTATTGTTGCAGTTCACTATGTTCTTTTCCTGTTGGTTGCTGAGGAAGCAGAAGAAGCAAAGGAATTACACTAATCTATTGATATATCAACAGTTACAATGGAGAATTAATATTTGTGAGTTGGTTTACAGGTGAAATTTGGGAATAATCATGCCAGATACACAAGCCCTTGTCAATGACTTTCTTAACAAGCTTAGGAAAAGGTTAGAGAGTTTTTCAATATGCCTATGAGGTTTGTGAAAGAAAAAAAGAAAGAATATTTGGGGGAAAATTGAATTTAATCATGAAAGCTAATACTTGTATTATCCTTTTCATTTTTTTGGTGGCAGAAAGATTGAGGGATCACATGCAACAGCAAGGCAGACTGCTGAGCTTCTACGATCTGTGATTTCACAGCAGAGAGTGCCTTACACAAATCAAGCTGGAGCCCTGATTGATGCTGTGAGGGCTGTTGGCGAGCAGCTGATTGCTGCAAATCCTGTTGGTATGTATTTTGATTGGTATCTTTTCTTTTAGATACATATTGGCCTATAGATTTGTGGGATGTGTCGGAGTGTGGAAAACATCAAAAGAGAGATGCAAATATTGTTGTTTCATCGAACATTCCTTGTGATTGTATGAACTCTTCAATCAGATGAAAAAGAATAAAATGCAGGATATGTTTCTGTGCTTGTGCTTAACTTGTTATAAATACTTTACTTTCAAATAAATATAGACTGATAAAACCAGTTCGTTCAAGATTTGTGACTCTTTTGTTGAGAATAGTGGTGGGAAAAAAGTATGGCAAGTGTTAGTGTCAAGAAATGTTAATAATTGGAAAATTAGAGAGTGAATATCACTATGATCCCCTCTATTAATCCACCTCTATTTCAGTTAAATTAGCTGAATGGTCCCCTTGTCTTAAACCTTCTGAAGCCTTAAAGAAATTCTGTTTCTTGCCATTCTTTTACTTTTTCTTTTTAGGGTTGTCAATAATAAATACCGTCCCTTACTTACATTTTTGAAGGGCCTCCATTAACCAAAACAGCAAAGGAGGTAGTGGAAATACAAGTATACATCCGGCTTCTCCACTTTAGCCCAAAATCCATTCTCATTACCATGTAATCAACAAATTTCCAGTTCACGTTGTTATATGCTTTTTCCATATCAAGTTTGCATACAAACCCATCCTTTTTATCAACCAATAAGTCGTCTACAGTTTCGTTTGCAGCGATCATAGCATCGAGGATTTGTCCCCCACCAACAAAAGCATGTTGATATTCTCCAATGACCTCACCAAACACCTTAAATAATCTTCTAGTCAACACCTTAGCAATGAGTTTGTAGATATATCCCACCAAACTAATTGATCTGTATTCTTTAAAATCATTAGTTCGCCTTGTTTTAGGAATTAGTGTAAGGAAAGTTGTGTTCAATGATTTCACAAATTTCCCCAAGGAATGAAGATCCTTAAATATTCCCATAATATCTTCTTGTAAACTTCTACTTTGGATTTACCTCTGCTTGGTCAAGAATATTAAACTTCCACTTTTCATTAGCAAAAGCTGAGGTAGAAACTTGACCAAGCAGACAGTATGCATTCTAAGTTTAATATTCCTTAGCTCCAACATGCTCACTTATGTGAAAACTTTCTATTTAAACCTTAGATGCTAGATACATGATTATCACACATCTTGAACGACTATTTGCCACTATCATGAAGTAATGTCTTTTGACAATTTGGTTTTCTTTTATCTCTTACTTACTTCCCTTGTGTTTGGATATCTAATTTATACTTTTCTTTGACGGTTTTTGGGTGCTTATCTACTTTTTTCTGATAAGACTATATGCACCTGATTGCAGAGCTTTCTGTGGGTAATATTGTGAGGCGCGTTCTGAACATTATAAGAGAGGAGGATCTTTCTTTGACAACAGCTGCCATGGCAGGGCTGAACTTGTCTGCAGCAAGTGATGAAGAAGATGATAATGAGCGACGCGACCACCCAATACTGTCAGCTGCAGCTCTTGCAGCTGCTTCTAGGAGCACTTTGCGTCCCCCTTCTTTACAAACACTGCTTGAGGATGCACCTGGATCCGCAGCTGTTCCTCATACTTCGTCATCTGGTGGTGATTCTGAAGGAAAAAGCAAATGTAAGCCTCTCTCTCTCTTCACTCCCCATGTCCCCAATCTTTACCCATGCATAGTGATTCCCTTTTAAGGATTAGTTTTTTTTTAAAAAAAAATTAAATAAAAGGAAGTATTATTAGTAAGAGAAATAGAATACATAAGGGGAGGATAAAGAAGATAAGGAAATAAAACTGGACAAACTTCAATACAAGATTGTTGCCATTCCTTTGCAAAATAGCTAAAGAAACACCATGGAGGAGAAGCCTTAGTGCAATCTAGTGTCAAATAAATCAATTTACTGAAGAACTTTAGATAACTTATCATGCTTGAAATTTCCACCCTTGGACAAGCTTTGATAATCGTCTCTCAGGATACCACTTAAGGGTAAAAAGGAAAATTCACAAAAAAGGCGAAATAGCCTTTTTGTTTACAAAATTATCCTGCAGCCGCCACTGTAGCATGAAATGGCCGCGCGATTCAGGCCACAGAGACCATTTGATTTTATTGCGTTAAAGTGTGTAAGAGGCTCAATCCTTTTATTCTTTTTATTGTGTTTGATTTTTTTATTCTTTTGATTTTTTCTTTTTCGTCTTACCAATAATGGTGTCCAAAGTCTCTTGTCCTTGATTTTTTTATTCTTTGTTTGTATTGCTGAGGATGTTCGTGGCAATGCTAAGAGGTGGTGATGGTTTTGGTTTTATTTTCTTTTAGCTGCTGACAGAAGTTCGAGAAGTCGGAAGCTAAAGCATGACGTCATTGAAGCAGTTAATGAACTTATTCAGGAGATTGCTACTTGCCATGAGCAGATTGCCGAACAAGCAATAGAACATATACATCAGAAGTATGTCCTCTACTGTCCGAATTTGCTATCAAATTTTTTATTCTAGTTCCTCCATCCTGCAATTTCTGCTTTGTGCTTTATCACCTGCCTGGAACTACACTGGTTACTTGCCCATGCCTTTTGAAGTATCTATTAGACGTGTAGTTGTCGAGTGTGTGATTAAATTTTCGCTCACAGGCATTTTTTTGGTTCTGCAGCATCTATGAGGCGCACTTAGTTCTCTTTTACTTTTGAGAGGTGTGTTTCATGTAACTGAACAGGGTAGATATTCCGGACCAGAATTGGCTCATTTACAAGATTCTGGACTTTTTTGGCTGAGTATTTTTTGGGGGAATTGGGGGTGGGGGGGTTGTTATGGGAAGGAAATATGATGTTAGGTTGTTGTCCCTTTTATCCATAGGAAGAGGAAAAAGAAAGGATTTAGAGAAAAGAAATAGGATTAGGTCAAAAGTAAGAGAGAAACAGAACAAACTAGGAGGAAAAAGGATTGAATATAATAGAAGGTCGATAGGAAAACTGTCAAGTAAATTAGGTACCACTTAGTACATGAAAGGGTCTTGTATTTTTCATTTCTGAAATACATGTGTTTACTTATTTGTTTCTTCATGAAACTATTATGAGCTGCATAATAGAAGGTTCTTTTGGGTGCATGAAAATGTTTTCTGGTTTTCATTATATACGTATATATTTGTTTATTAATGATGGTGTATGCTAATGTGTAAATGATTATGTATTTGGGACCATGACAAAACTTGTTGGTGCCAGAAAGTTGAACAATTGTACGCTGCTGGCTTCCTCCAACTACTGGAAATTCCGGGATAGATATTGTCTGATATTTTTTAGATTTTGTGGAATATCTTCGTCCTAAGGGAAAATGATACTTTTGGTGGTTGTGGGTCATTTTTCTAAAAATATGCAACTTCCTACCACTAGATGGGCCACATGAGTCAATAGTGACAGGAATGTCGCCTTCATCTGTACCTTCTGGAAAGAACTCTTCTATCTTTTCAAAAGTTCATGTTGCTGGTGTACTCCCCTTTTCATCCTTCACTTTGTTGATGTTGGGGGGTGGATCTCGTTTTCTATTTTGCAAGGATTCTTGGTTTTGGGATTCTTCCTTCGCTATTTTATTCCCACGCTTTTGTTGATAATCTTCATTTTGTTATATAATTTCATATCTTATTTTATGATATGCAAGATTCTCAATTTTTTTGAAACATTCATTTTTATTGCGACCTAAATGATAAAGAGACCTCGGCTTTATTGGCATTAGTTACAATGCTTTGAGCTTTTCCTCTTGCCTTGAGCTAATAAATCCCAATGGAACTTAGACTCTTCTTGTTTCTTTACTTGCAAGTAATTTCTTAGTTTCTAGAGCCACGGGCCCTTATCATCATGAGAAAACTTGGGTCTAAAGTTTATTATGAACATAGGTCTTGACTATAGATGATTGTTTTCCAATTAAGACTAAGCCTCTTGCTTTTGGTTAGCAATGCCTTTGTAGGTTCTCAAGTTCCTGAGGTGTTACCATTTCCACCAACTCTGTTTGAGTTGATGGTCTTTTAGATGTAATACTATTATATCCTCCAATGGAGTTCTTGATTGATTCTTCTTGTGTTGGAAGAGTTGTCTAGAAGACACTTCATGACTAATTGAAGAAGGGCTTTCTTTTTACCAAACTTTTGTGATAATTATCTTCAGGCATCCCTTCTAGAGTCTAGTTCTTCTAAGGAAGGAGTGATGCAGGTCATCTAGCATTACTTTTCTATTATATTACTGTGAGAAAATATGAGAAGAAAAGAAAGATCTCTATTTTTGAATTGATAATACATGGTATTTATTAATAGGTTACATGAGAAAAAAATAAGAAACTAATTCATTTTTAAATAGGACACTAACTCAACAGGAAACTTACTCATTCCTAAATAGGACACTAACTCATTAAGAAACCTAACCTCTTAATCCCTCAATTTACAAGATTTCCAATTAATTCTCCTAATCTCTTGCCAGCATATCTATATCTTGACATTCCCCCTCGAGCTAAGGGATGGATGTCTTCTATTCCCAGCTTGAATACAAGATCATGAAAATTTGAACTGTTAAGCCCCTTTGTAAGAACATCAGCTACTTGACGTTCTAATTGAACATAAGACATACACACTAACTCTTCCTCCAATTTTTTTTTAATGAAATGTCTACCAATTTCGATATGTTTTGTCCTATCATGTTGTATAGGATTATAAGAAATATTAATAGCTAACTTGTTGTCACAATAGAGCTTCATAGGTCTTTCCTATTTGACTCTTAAATCATCTAGAATAATCTTCAACTAGAGTAGCTCACATAATCCATGAGCAATAGTTCTGAACTCTAATTCTGCAGATGATCTTGCGACGACATTCTGTTTCTTACTCATCCACGTTACCAGATTACCTCCAAGAAAAGTACAATACCGTGTAGTTAATCTTCTATCCACTAGAGAACCTGCATAGTCAACATCGGTGTAAGCTTCTAGAGCAAGAGTGTTGTTCTTCTTGAACGAAATTCCTTTTCTTGGATTGCCTTTCAAGTAATGCAGTACCCTGTAAGCAACTTGAAGATAAGGTTCTCTTGGATCGTGCATGAATTGACTAATCACGCTCACTGAGTATGCTATGTCAGGCCGAGTGTGGGCAAGGTATATGAGGTTTTCGACCAACCTTTGGTACATTATTTTATCAATAGTTGGTTCTTTTTTAGCTTCTCCCAACTTATGGTTTGAATCCATGGGTGTAGAGACTGGTTTACACCCAATTTTTCATGTTTCTGTTAATAGATCAATCATGTACTTTTGCTGAGATATGAAGATGCCCTGTGCACTTCAATACCGAGCAAATACTTCAGTTTTCCCAGTTTCTTTATTTCAAATTCTTTTGCTAGTCTCAGCTTCAGTTCTTGCTTTTCTCTTTCATCATTTCCAGTCACTAGGATGTCGTCCACATAGACTAGAAGTGCAGTTACTCCCCCTACAGTCGAATGTTTAATGAAGAGAGTGTGGTTACCTTGGCTTTGTTTATATCCCGACTCCTTCATAACTTTTGCAAATCTCTCAAATCATGCTCTAGGAGTTTGTTTTAACTCATAAAGAATCTTTTTCAACTTTTATACCTTGTTACCTGTGTCCCCCTCAAATTCCGGTGGGATATTCATATATATCTTTTCATCTAAATCGCCATGGAGAAATGCATTCGTAACATCATATTGTAGGAGTTGCCACTTGAAGTGGGCAGTCAATGACAATAGAATCCTCAATGTATTCATTTTTGCAACTGGAGCAAAAGTCTCCTGATAATCTATCTTATAAGTTTGAGTATGCCCTTTGACCACCAGTCTTGCTTTATATCTCTCAAGGGATCCATCAGCCTTGTATTTCAGTGTGAAAATTCATTTACAGTCAATAATGTTTTTCTCTTTTGGTTTATTAACAATCTTCCATGTTTTATTCTTTTCTAATGCAATCGTCTCTTTTCTCATAAGATCCCTCCATTCTCTTTTCGACAATGCCTCAGAAACAGTGTTAGGGTTAGTAATGGTGTTTAAACTTACAATGAATTTTTTGTGGGATGGTAATAAGTGTTTAAGAGAGACATAGTGAGATAGTAAGCGGCTGTTTGATGCATTCTCCGGTACCTTTTCTCACAGCAATGGGAAGGTCTAGATCGTCTTTTGGATTATCAGGTATTTCAACAGATTGTGTGTGTAAAGGTGGGTCAGATCTTATCGTGATCTCATTTCCAGAGTCTGGGTTAGATTCTTAGACTTCTATCAGTTTTGGAACGACCTTTCTCCTTAAATACCTGAGTGAATCTTGGTAACTTTTGACTTACACTGGTAGGGACAAGAGGTGACACGAGTTCAGCAGCAGAATTGGGTGACTCAGATGTTATTAGGTAAGAGTTTTTGGATTCAACAGCATGGACTGGAATCTGAGGAAGGTCAAGGATTTTAATTGTTTCAAATGACTTACAAGTACTATCTTCCATAATTGAAATCTCCCCCTGAAGAGAGGATTTGAAGAAAAAATGTTTATTTTTTGGGAAGGTGACATCTGCAGAGATGTAAAATTTTTTGGATGAAGAGTTGTAACACTTGTATATCTTTTGAATGGTTGAGTAACAAAAAAAAACACATTTTATGGCTCGAGGATCTAGCTTGCCTCTTTGTTGGTTTTGGATATGAACTAAGGCAGTGCACCCAAATACTCTGGGTGTTAGGCCATTTGAGATTCTGAAGTGAGGGTAAAAACTATTAAGGATCTTTATGGGGCTTTTGTTGTGTAACACACGTGAGGGAAGTCTATTTATCAGGGGTGTAGCAGTAAGAACAACCTTTCCCCAATAGGACTTAGGAACATTCCCTTGAAAGAATAAGCCTCGGATGGTGTTAAGTGCGTGCTCATTTTTCTTTTCAGCTACCCCATTTTGCTGAGGTGTGTTAACACGTTATTGAAAATAGGGTGACAAAATCTGGTTGAAGTAGTCTCTAGCATTGTCTGCTTTAAAGCTTTTTATTTTAACCCCAAATTTGTTTTGAACCGTTGAGTGGAAGTTGGGTATAACAATGTTAACATCAGATTTTTGTTTAAGAAGAAAGAGACAAGTAATTCGAGTGCAATCATCAATTAAGGATATAAACCAACGAGCGACAGAAACATTTGGTATTGTAGAAGGACCCTATATGTTACTATGAATTAAATAAAAATGATGAGAGATTTTTTTATTGTTGATAGGAAAAGATACACGGGCATGTTTTGCTAATTCACAAGTTCACAATGAAATTCAGACATATTTAATCCATAGAACAAATGAGGAAACATGACTTTTAAAACCCTAAAGATGGATAACCAAGGCGTAGGTGATACAACTAAATGACATCTTTATTTGTGGACTTGAAGAAAACTAAAGACAAATTGCTTCTACCATTTTTTGATGATTCAAGGTAGTAAAGACCGTTTCTTTTTTTAGCAAGTCCAATCCTCCTTCCTGAGTGCTAATCCTGAAAAACACAATAAGAAGGGAAAAAAGTGACATAACATTAAAGATCATGGGTTAGTTTTTAAATGGAAACCAGGTTGGTTGATAGTTTCGATGCATGGAGGACATTTTTAAGGATAAGGATAGGTGTGATATGTATATCTCTAAACCCTGCAATAGTAGCTAAAGAGCCATTAACCACTAAAATTTTTTTGTTGCTTGGGTATGGAGTACAAGTGTGAAAAAGTTGAGGTATGAAGGTCATATAATTTGTGGCACCAAAATCTATTATCCAAAAATTAACATATAATGTTTTCGAGGTGTTCATGCAAAAATAGAATGAAGGTTTACTTATAAGAACCAAAGAACAAGTTCTAGAAGGCTTCACAAGAGACCCCAGCAGGTTTCTCAGTTTCTCAATTTTTTCATTGTTGAATTCCCCTGTTGCTGAATTTTCCTTAGTTTTGGGTTGCTCTTACCATATGTGCTTGATGTCTTTGTTGCCCCCCACGATTCCCCCATTCTCGGCTTGGTGACTTACCATTAAGTTTCCGACACTTCTCTTTTGTGTGCCTCAGTTTCTTGCAATAGGTGCACCAAAGATTGTCCTTGTTCTCCTTCCACTGGTTTTCTTTACCAGAGTGTTGAGTTAGATTATCATTTCATTTCTCCTGATGATCTGTTTTTGTTATTAGGGCTGACTCGTTCACGGTTTGTTGTGTTTGAAGCATAATACTCCTTTGGCTTTCTTCTGCTCGAATAAATGATATTGTCTCTTCTAGAGGAGGGGTGTCCTCCTTGCCAATGATTTTGATCCTAACCTGATCGAATTTAGAATTCAATCCAGCCAAAAAATCATAAATTTGGTATTTTTCAATGAAGTTCTTCAAGATGACAACATTCTTGGGGTGTTTCATCTTAAAAACTTGGTAATGATCAAGTTCTTGCCACAGGTTTTACAGCAGGTTTGCATATTTTGTGATAGATTTGTCTGCTTGCTTAGTGGCCATAGTTCTTACTTTGATCTCGTACACTTAAGCAGCATCATGGACTTTCGAATATGTGCGACGAATGAAATCCCAAATTTCCTTTGCTGTAGCAAAAAACATACACGTATCACTGATTATGGGATTCATATAATCCCATAGCCAAGACATTATCATGGAATCCTCCTCATCCCAGGCTTCAAATGGTGGGTCATCTTGTACTGGTCCCGTTCTAAGAACGTGATTAAGTCTCCCTTTGCTCTTGAGGTACGTGCGGAAAAATTGAGATCATTTGAGGTAGTTCTTCCCATTGAGCCTATATGAGGCCTAAATATTCTGCAATTCTCCAATTTTCTTAATAGAGTTGGACTCTTCGGGTGGATTTGAATTGCTGGAGGCAGTGGTGTAGGTGGTTTGGGAGGTTGACATGATGAAGGAAGGAAATCAACAGCAATTAAGACTGCTCAACTGGGAATTAAAGAAGAAGGAGAAATAAAAAACAAGATTAGCAATGACTGAAACGAAGATCGTTCAGCAATTAAGCTGAAGAGAATAGAGGCAGAATTCCTAGAAAAGAGTTTAGAGCTCTGATACCATATGAAGAAATATGAGAAGAAAAAAAAGATCTCTATTTCTGAATTGATAATACATGGTATTATATAGGAAGTTACAAGAGAAAAAAATAGGAAACTAACTCATTTCTAAATAGAACACTAACTCAACAGGAAACTTACTCATTCCTAAATAGGAGACTAATTCATTAGGAAACCTAACCTCTTAATCCCTAAATTTACAGGATTTCTAATTAATTCATCTAATCTCTTGCCAGCATTTCTATATCTTGACAATTACTTGTAGGTTGGATATTAAATTTGAATGGGTTTATTTTTTCTTATTTGGTTACAATTCCTATTTATGTTTTACTATTTAACTAAGGTGGTGAAATTCTCTCGTAAATGATAAAAATTGACATCATAAGAAATTATGTGAAACTGTTAGTACATGGGAAGTTTCATCTATTTATCCTCTTCTATTGTTTCAAGTATGCGTAGACGACCCTTCACGAGTAATTAAAGAGGAGCTTTCTTTTTATGGATCTAAACTTGTTTGTCGATTATCTTCATGCATCCCTTCTAGAGTCTAGTTCTTTTGAGGAAGGAATAATGCAGGTCATCTAGCATAATTTTTCAATAATATTATTTATAGGGTGGCTGGTATATATTAATGGGTTTATTTTGTCTTCTTTGGTTATGATTCCCATTTATTTTTTATTATTCTAGAGATAATAGGATCTTGTGAAACTTTATGGCTATGTTTGGAATAAGTTCAGATTTTTATGGAATTCATTTGCAAATTCATGCTTAGTTCAATTAAGATGATGAAAATTCTCTCATAAACAATAAATATTGACCACTTGTAAGGAATTATATGGAACTGTTAATGCATGCCAAGTTTCATCTATTTATCATCATCTTTCATTGTTTAAAGTGTGTACAGAAGTCCCTAGAAAGTTATATCTGGCCTTTATGCTTCATGTTTTCTTGCTTTTGGAACTTTGAGGATGGGTGATGCCCTCGTTTTCTTATTTTCGGAGGATTCGTGGGTTGATAATATCACACTTACCTCTTGATTTCATCACCTCTATAACTTTTCCCGGAATCATAATTCTCCTATTTCCTCTTTTCTAAATCACTCTACGATTTGCATTATTGGAATATGTCCTTCTTTTGGCACTTCAATGATCGAGAAGCTAATAATGTGATTATTCTAATTCAGCTTCTTAATTCTGTTGTGTTTTCTAACAATCCAAATTGTATGTTATGTTTAGTTCAATTCTAATTCATGGAATGAGAATGAGAATACAATAACAGCCTAAGTCTAAGTCAGTTCCACATCCAATGTAAAAAAGATGTTCTGTGATTTCTTTCTTGGTATATGCAGAAACAAAATCTAAGATTATACAATTGAAAAATAGGAGGAATCTTGATTTAATTATGCATCAAATGTGTAAATTAATTAATTAATTAATTCCATTTCTGATTCTTTCTTTGAATGTTGATTTAATTCTAATTCTTGGCATGTGACTTCTTTCTTGATTCCTTCAATGCTTCCTGCTATACATTTATTCTTTTCTAGACTAATTAATTATAGATCATTTCTGTTGCCAGTGAGGTAATTTTAACTCTAGGCAGTTCAAGAACAGTATTGGAGTTTCTTTATGCTGCAAAGGAGAAAAAGAGATCATTTCGGGTGTTCATTGCAGAGGGTGCTCCAAGGTATGTATCAGTAGTTTCTACATTCGAAGGTGAAGGAATTCGTATTTAATTTAGCAACTTTTATTTCTTTATGGGCAACACATTTTACATTTTTTTCCATTTTGGTAATTTCATTTCAAATAATTAGGTATCAGGGGCATCTTCTAGCCAAAGAATTGGTTGCAAGAGGTTTGCAAACCACATTGATTACTGACTCTGCAGTTTTTGCTATGATTTCTCGAGTGAACATGGTATATTATCAGTCTTAGCTTTCTCTATATTTGGTATTGTTGGATTTCTTGGTTTGCCACCTCTTTAGTGAAAATTTTATTTTGAAGGTTATAGTTGGAGCTCATGCTGTCATGGCTAATGGTGGGGTTATAGCACCTGTTGGGTTGAATATGGTTGCACTTGCAGCTCAAAAACATGCTGTCCCTTTTGTTGTGCTTGCTGGCAGTCACAAGGTAATCTGGTCCACTGTACTTGCCCAAAACTTTTACTGGAAGTATACAAGTTGATTTCTTTATTTTTTATTTACATGTTCTTGATTTTTTGTGCTCTGGAGGGATAATGATAATTATGTCGTGTTGAAGTGTATGTGGGATAGAGAGTCTGTTTGCATTTGCTTAATTTTATAGTTCTTTATATATATATATGTATGTTTATGTATATATGTATGTGCAGATAACGGGAAATGTAGTTTGTAAACTGAAATGGAATGAAGTAGAATCTGTTATCTGTGGATATTATTTCTACAGTTTTCTGGCTGCTGCTTAATTACCATTATACCCTTTTCAAGCGTTTGCTGAAGATCATAGAAGAACAGTAAACTAATAATTTGATGAGCTTTAAGCTGGAAAAGTATTTACTTTTTATTTTCCATGACATAACATATTATAAATCTACAAATTAGGGTTTTTAAAGTTAAAATTTTGGTAAATGAAAAAAGATAATATACTTGCCCAAGAGTGGCATTTTCCGTAAAATCTTATTACTCTTGTAATCCTATTTGGCCAAAAGTAGAAGGATCATGGGGGATTTTTCATGTAAACTGATTTGGAAGATCTAAACATCTCCTAGAGTAGCGTTTTTGCATGAGAAGCAGCAACAAGTTGTATTCTTACCATAGACAACTCGATCAAGATGGGGAAGGTCATTGTGAATGGGTACTACTTGTGTAACAGATCTGCAGAGTCAGTCAACCGGCTCCTTTAATGTCGTGTTTCCTACCTAGATGGAGTAGCAGCATAGCGACATGTCTATTCTTTTGTAAGGTTAGGGGAAAAGACTATACAACATTTTTTTGCTGGATGGTGAACATTCACCTTAGAAAAAACTTCATGTCCAGTTTGATCATCAATGGAATAAATTATAATTTGGAGAATGGGCCAAACTTGGCTGTCAAAGAATTTTTAGAGTAAGGTTTATACTGAGCTAGGGGATTTTATGTCAAGCTATTTTGATGTATTATAATTTGAATAAAGCCCTAGACCCAAATAGCTTTACTATGGCTTTCCTCAAAAAATTTGGCAGGTTGTTTGCATAGATATCTAAAGCCTTTTCGAGAAATACCATGGAACCACCAAGTCTGTAACTTCTTCAGTCAACTTTTTTGGTTATGATTCGAGAGGATCAAGAATTTCAGGTCAACCAGCTTGGTAGAAGTGCCATAAAATGTTTGCCAAATTCCTCACCATCAAGGGTTATTTGTCAGGTGATAGGGGAAGGTCAACATGCCTTTGTGAGCGGTCATCAGATTTTTGTGCTGCTTTCATCATAAAGAAGGTGGTGGATTGTGTTACAATTAGAGAGCAGGGCCCTTCTGTTGGAGCTGGATGTTCAGAAAACTTATGACCACGAGTCTGGTCCTTCATGTACTTGTTAAGGCAAATGGGATTTGGTTGAAATGGCACAAGTATCCTTCAATTCATCTTCTCTTGTTCTTTGACAATCTTCGTTAATGGAGCTTTAACGAGTATTTCTCATCCTATAGGGGCTTATGGCAAGGAGTTTCTTGTCACCCTTGCTTTTTGTCCTGATTATGGAGACTTTTAACAAGATGCTTCTAAAGGAAAAAGGTAAATGATCTGAATCAATGATCGTTTGTGGAAGGTGGTGAGAGGTGTAAAGACTGACTAGTGTGTTGGTTGCTAATGAGTCCATTGTTCTAGAGGCCAGACACGGTCTAATCACTAAATGTGAGATGCACTTATTTTTGTTTTTAAGCTGTCTCTAGCGCCAAGATTAACCTGGAAAAGTTAAGAGTTGGTACCATTTAGAGAAGGCATTCATGTGACAAACTGTGTTTCAGTTCTTGTGTGTAAAACCTGTAAGTTGCCTTCGAAATATTTGGGTTTACCTTTGGGAACCTGATTTAAGTATTTAAGAATTTGAAACCAATGGATTTCTAAGATGGAGAGGAGGTTAGCTAGTCAGAAGAGGATGCACCCAATGAGGAAGATTAACTTTAAGTACCTAGATATCTCAAAGATTGAAAGGTTCTACTATCTTGGAGGAATCTCTCAACCATCCCCTTCGTCAATGTTGGACGCTAGAAGGTTGCAGAATTCAGGAGAAGGTTTTTACTCTATTTTCTCCTTATTTTGTGACATGCACTAATAACAGGTCACGTAATGAGGTACAGTGATTTGTTTAGTAGTTGATAAATACTTTTTTGCTTGTGATTTTTATGTTCCAATTCATACTTCCTATTTTTGTTGACTTCTACTTGTTCTTCTTCATAACAGTTATGTCCTCTTTATCCGCACAATCCTGAAGTGTTATTGAATGAGTTGAGATCTCCATCAGAACTGTTGGACTTCGGAGAATTCTCTGACTGCATGGACTTTGGAAGTGGCACTGGCTCCCCTACTCTTCATGTTGTTAATCCAACATTTGATTATGTTCCACCGAAGCTTGTTAGTCTGTTTATCACTGACACGTAAGTTCAAATGCCTTTTGACTGCATCCTACATGAGATTCAGAAGGGTTAAACGAATAAAGTGAAATGTTGTTCTTGTTATTATATTGAAGAAATAGCTTATGCATTTATAGATATGCCTAACAAATAGTGAAAGAAAACTGAAAATGGAATCTAAATTAAGAGACATTTTTACTATAGTTATAGCTTACTATTCTCAAATAGGCTATATAATAAATATTTCCTTATTTAAAAAAAAAAATAAATATTCTTATTCTTTAATGCTTTATCTCTCAAGATGAACTTGGCACAAGATTAAGCTTGTTTTAAACAAGGTAGTCAAGAACTTAAAGCTAAATTAAGCAACTGGTAGCTTGATGAACTCCTTAGACTTCCTTGCAAATATAGTAATTAAAGACAACTTAAAACTAAATTAAAAAACTGGTAGCTTGATGAACTCCTCAAGCTTCCTCCTGACAAGGGTGATGACTTTCTTAAACCACAAATTGCAAACAAGCTCAACCAAATATCAATTTGGTACTTGTGACAAGCAATAGATTCCAAATGAGCTCAACCATCAAGAAGTACCATGTACAATTAACAATAGGCCGCCTGCAGAGTGCTGGAGGTCATCAAGGAAAGGATTCATATTTAGAAAAAATGACAAGTTGCTCTTGTAATCTTATTATGAATGCAGACTACGTAAGGTCAGTTGATGGGCAGAAGATCTACCAAGGGTTATTGTCTCTCTTTTGGGGGCAACTTGGTTATATGGAAAAATAAGAAGTACAACATAGTTGTAAGGTCAAGTGCAGAATCAAAATTTCGAGTAATGGCTCAAGGGGTATGTAAATTACTATGAATTTTAGTAAACCCAAAAATCAAGTAGGACAACCCGAAGCGCCTATGTTGACAATAAATTGGCCATAAGCACTGTCCATAATCCGCTGCAACATGACCAAACCAAAAATATTTGAGTTGATAAACATTTTATCAAAGAAAAGGTAGACAGTGGCTTAATATGTACCCCATACATACTGACTAGCTCACCTTTGCAGATTTGTTGACTAAAAGGCCCGAGTAGTCCACATTCCAACTATCATTAGAAAGTTAGGAAGGAACAATATTTATTTCACAACTTGAGGGGGAGTGTTATACGAAGTGTGTAACCTTTTGGATAAGGAGACTTTGCACATGCTGACCTTATTGGATTTATTGGCACCTATCACTATGACCCCACAGGCTAATCAAAGATTGTGGACCTTGGAGTAATCAGGTCCTTTCACTTGTAAATCCCTCTTTCAACATGAAGTTTTTTCCTTGGACTGCTGTTCACGAATGATTTGCTCCAGACTTGTCCTTATCGGCCTGTTTTTCGTGTTGTTTGTGTTATGTGCTTTAGAGGAAGGGAAATACACGCTCATTTGTCTCTTCACTGTGACACTGCTTGGAAATTATGGACTTTGATCTGTAAGGTTGTTATCTGGGTGTCACCCCAATAGTGGAAACATTCCTTAGTGTTTCTATCAATGAGAAAGGGGTGAGGGAAGAAGCCAAACCATTGTAGCAAGGCGTCCTCTTTGCAGGCCTATGGTGTATATGGCTTGCTCGCAATTCTACAATTTTTTACAACAGAGTTCCTACACTGAATTTTGGGAGAGGGTTAACTTTTTGCCTTCATTATGGGCCAAAGTGCATAGTCACTTCCACGACATTAGCATTTCAGTTCTCCACCGAAGATGGAATATATTTATTAAGAGCACGTAGCCTTTGTATTATGTTCGTTACTTTCTCTCTTTTCCTATCTTTGTTTGGAGTTGTTTCCTTCTCTGTGTCTTGAGGAGGATGTCTTATTCTCCTTTGATGTAATTTCTTCCTCTTTTTCTTGATAAAGTCTTCGTTTATCTGCAAAAAAAATCTTTTTTACCAACTGAAGAATATGAGTAGAGCAAACGAATGAAAGGACGAGAACTTGATTATTTATATTTCTTTTCTTGAGCAGAATGAAATGGGAAAAGAAAGAACTGATTTTTTTTTTAAGAGAGAAAAATTGGGCAGAAACAAACATGAAGAGAATTGGATTTCTTTCTTGTAAGAAGGGAATTTGAGTAACATTTAAAAAAAGAAAAAAAAAATCCTTTTTTGCTTCATAGGAGATCTCTAGGAATGGCTAGAAAATGGAGTAAGAAATAAAACAGTAGGATTAGTAGGTTCCATAACCTATTCCTTTGGTTCCATGCTGAAAGAATAACGTGAAATAGAGTTCTTGTTATTGTAATGAAGAAATAGTACATGTATTCATAGAGATACATAGGAATAAGAAGAAAACTAAGACCAGAAACTAATTAAATAGGAGCACATGTAGACCAGTTAATCTAATGTTTAACCTTTATTAAAAAATTGTTGAAATTATATGTAATTATCAAATGTATACCAGTTATATCTAATGTTTAAATAATTCTTTTGACTTTTATCTATGCCTTTAAAATTTTGTAATTATTTGAATACACTAACAATATAATACTTCGAATTTTGTTCTAAATTAAATGTTATACTGGTATGATATTGAGGATGCACTCTCCAATATTAGGTTGCTATGTTCAAATTTTTATCATCAAAAAATTATTACGACTTTTACTAGGGCATTAACTACATAGGAAAAGACTAAGAAAAAGCTTACCATTCTCAAATAGACGATATAAGGAACATTTCTATTCTCTAATGAAAGGCGTAAGTGAATAAAATTTTAACAGCTGTAAATGATTGGACTTGACTATGTTTCCCATCCTAAG